GGGGGGGGGGGGGGGAACAAGTTGGTTATGATTATTGATAACTCTGAATAAACATATTTAAAGCAGTAATAAAAATGAATGGATATGGCAAACAAATGTTGCCCTGTTGGGAATTAGCGGTTCCAAAGCAGCAAATCGAATTCTGAAGCCAAGACACATGTCCTCTTCTGCGCTGAGTAGGTGAATGCTGAGTGCTAAGAAGCAAGCATGTGCTAGATTATTAAACTGCTGAAGTGGAAAGAAAGGCATCATTAAAAAATAATCATATATGGCAAAGCCACTGAAGGGTCTACGTGAGGATAATGAATGTAGAAATACAACTAAAAACATGGCCCTCAAAACTTAATCAGAAAAATATGCAGGACATCAAAACATCAAAGGGCATTAGAGGGCTGGCAAAAGTGCTTGTGCAGAGGTGTGTTTTATGAAGAGATACTGTCCCCGGCGTGTGCAATGTAGGCATTCTGATCGTGCTCACTTACTTTACCCTGAATTATGACCCATAAAGTCAGGCCCATGAATCACTGGACTGTATTACTGCAAATTATTTTCAGTGCATTTAGCTGTTACTCCCTCATAGCAGCAAGATGCTGATGCCCTTTGCAAAGCAGGATAAGTGACTTCGCACCATCCTTTCTCCTGTTTATAGCCTCTGCTAATGCTTGTCATTTATTTATGAAGGAAAAATAAAGAGTTATTTGCTCACAGCCACAACTACTGCCCCTCTGTCCTGTTTCACTCCATAGGGTCTACAAAAATGCACTCTACGAAGAATTACGGCTAATGCTCCCCTCATTGAGTAGGTATCAGTTCCATTATAAACTATGGCTACATTTACATTTATTTAAATGAACTTGTACATGAAGCAACCAATGAGATGCAGAACATTAAGGTAAAATTTTATAGGTCTGCATATTTAGCAGAACATTGCCCACATCTATGGCAGTTTCTGAATGGTGCGGCAGGCGAGCTTCTTCACTGCTGTTTAAATATTGAAATTTAACATTCACTGGTCCGTTACAAAGGAGCTAGAGTGGTTGGTGGAAGAGACTTTTTCACCTAAAATTATGATCGGAGTGCCACAGAGCTGCTTTTACTACGGTCCCCAATGGTTCCTTACATCTACAAAAACAACAAATTCCCTTCTTCCCTTTCTTGAAACGAGGAGGGGGATGTGATTTTCTAAAGAAAAACAAGGTTAAACTTAACCAGTTCATCAAACCAGAATTAAATTCTTAAGCTAAGGGCCCATAGAGACATCACCATGATTTTGGGAAAGCTAAAGCTAAAATGTTATAGTGTACAAAATTTGAACAGAAGGCAGATAGGTGGAAAGTATATTCAATAACATATTTCCTAACATCTGAATTTCAATTTATGGTGTTGTTTTTCTAACCCTAACACTGTGTCCTGGTTTGAAGAATGCCATTCGAGAATGACTCATACGCACCTTTCTCTTTCAATCTCGTTACTGTGCAGTGTTTTCATTAACATTTATTTCAATTGCTTTAACTTGGATTACTTCTCTGCTCAACAGCACACTGCATTTAAACAGCCAATACTTTAGGAAGGTCAGATATTTTGTAACTCACTTTGTTGGTATTTCTACAGAACATTTATTAATGAATTCATCCTTGTTAATTGAATTATGTTTTATATACAGACTTGTACTACAAAATGTAGGACATAGTTATCTACAAGGGTTGAGTCACATAGGCTTTCTATTACATAACATTTATCCATATAGTGATCCAAGAAAAAAGAACTGAAGAAAAATTATAAAGAGGAAAACGTCAAGATAATATAGCCAGAAGAACAAATTCCGTCTTGTACTACGTCAAATCTAGGACAAGCTGGTACACAGAACTAACATACAGGCCTATATCTATATAGTTATGTTTAAACAGTCCAGATATACAAAACAGCTTAAATATCCTCTTACCTGTTTAGAGTTTGTAAGATACAGTTTGGCTGCCAAATTCAAAGTCTGCAGCTTTACAATTTCTTCTTCCGATGTGAACGTTTTGGCCATTTTTCTCAAAACATCAGGGGCTATCTTTGGGACTCTTTCACAATACTCTCCCATCAACCAAAGGATACTAGCTCTGGCCATCGGCACCTAACAACGTAGTTGTAAAAGAGTGAGTAGGCACACCTGAACACATTCAGCATATACACAAATACAATAATCTACAATAACGTGTACTGCATTACACGTACTTACAGTTATTTTGTCAAAAAGTCTGGCCATGTGTTTTATGATCTCGCTGTGCTGTGATGGTTGGGTTTGCAAGAGTTTCTTTATCACCACCACACTTTCTGCCACAACAGTCTCTGTGGAGGGGGAAAAACAGAAGAACCATTTTTTATAGACCTTCTTTCAATATCGTACTGATATGCGGTAACTTTCTTTTGGGATTTCTTTATCATTTCAGTCTTCTCCGTTAGGCTTCCAACATTGCTTCTGTATAAAAGTGCATTATTTCGAGAATTTCCTTTCAGAACGTCTGGGTAGCATTTTCTGGTTCATAAATAACTTGTCCGAAAGCCACATTTTAACAAACACTTTCAAGGCTCTTTGTTAGATCACAATATCCACCTGTGTATTTACTGAACAAAACATGTTCTTGTGATTTTCATTATAACAGTTGTCAGTAATTTTTTAATGGTGAAAATGTTCAAATCCAGTCTTTTACTCTAGTTATCAGTACCTGAAATTATTTTGCAGTGTAAGTTTTATTTTTAAATCCAACATCAAATCAATAAAGGCCTAATATTACATATAACAGAAAAACATATCCAGTCCCAGATTCTCACATGGGTTTTTCCACTGCAGAGACCCCCTTATTTGCAAAGCAACACTGAAAAGTCTAAAAGTAAAACAATGCAAGTGTGAGCAGCCACATCTGTTCCCACACAGCTCAGTATAATAATCCCTCCTAAAAAAAGAATATTTATCTCACTCAAAAGTTATATGTAGAAATAATAAAAGAATCTGAATACAGAAAAAACATTTTTATCCCAAACTATCTTTGCAGAGCATGAAGTGTCCATCTACAGAAGTTCACTTTTCTTATTTGTATCTGGAAGTGTATCTATCAGAAACATACTTTAACAATAAAACAGATTCATATTCTGAACAGTGGAAGAGGGGACATGCACTGTACTATGTATATACAAACGTGAATAGGACACACACTGTCTCTTGTATCACCACCACTATTAGCAATGCTTTTAAATTTACAAGTTTCATTTTTCTAAAATGAAGGTGCATTTATTTTCTCAGCTGTCATCTATCAAATTGCAGCAGTATGTTAAACACGAAATAACGATGGCGCATAAGATAAAAACACTGCTTCCACTTAAACAGCTAAAAAAAACAGTAAATCATCATCGAAATATGTTGTTAAATATCTTATTTGCACAACAGTATGCTCATTGCTCAGACACTAAAGATTCCCTGGAAAACTCTTATGCCCACATCTAATTTTACCAGGCACAATGGTCTCCTGACCGCCTGCAATGATTTACCAGTAACAGCATGAACACAGAAAAAAAGGCTTTAGCGGTAAACAGCCATTCAATTTCTGACTAATGTCCGTATGCTGCTTTATGTGAAAGATCATTTCAAATGAACAATACCACTCTCCCTGAAATTCTACGAATATCCACAACATCTGACAAAAATAAGCACTATACATGTAAGTCAGTCATTCCAAGAAAATGTCTTTTTAACTTCCTTAAACAATTAACACTTTCTAATGTTTTTAATATTTTGACTTGGAGTATAAAGATGCCACATGCACACTTTTCTTTTCACAAGACAAACAGTAAAAATAATTAATTAAAAAGAAGAGCTAAATTCTGAACTCGCTTTTTATCAAGTTACACTATTAGCCTGCAAATAGCACCCTCTGCAGGTTAACTTATTGTGTTTGTTTATGACAGACTGCCAGTTAACTTTTCATTAGGAGCTGAAATGTAAAACGTAAGATCAAACATTCATTCCTAACAATATTCTGTGTAGGATTCTGGAAGTTGGTCATTTTTAGCCATTAAATGAATCATGCACTCCTGGAACATTTTGTACTGCGATTATATGAAAGCAGTGACTGTACAGTGCACATATCAATTCAGCATTTCATTTTTAAAGGACAATTCTAAGATAAACCTGTTACTGATATGCAGTTAAGGCCTCAGAAAGAACAGTAAAAGCTTTGTAAGTGAATGTATTTTGTAACATTACCAGATCTGATCAATTTAGCATCGGAAGCACATCAGGTATCCCTGAGCTTTCCCAAATGTATCAACTTTACCCAATCATCCCAAGTCATAAACCAGTAAAGAGGAGGAATCAAGACCTCTCCTCCTGATAAATTTGTATTTCTTCATCACATAAAATTCTCCAATTTTGCAGCGGTTTGTTTTTTCAGAGGATGCCACATTTGCTCGGCTAAAGACCCTGTAAAGCATCTGATGTCAGACTGAGCTTTACGATGCATGGATGAGCACATTCTGTGAAATCTGAACACAAACAGCTGGCTACTCGTTGTGAAGCAGAAGGAAGAGACTACAACAGGGTGCCTCTTTCAAAAGACTATGCAGCACAAAGGAGAGAACAGCTTGTACTTTAGCATCTCCATCAAGGAAACCTTGTGTTAACGACATTGTTAAAAATATGCAAACTTTTAAAATACTATACATTTGCACAAGTATTACTATATCAAGTTACTTTTGCAAACTATTGTTTTGTAATACTTTTAAACTTCCAAAAATTGCTAGAAAAATATTTCACGGCACAGTGGCACGGTGGCTAGCATTTCTGCCTCATAGAGCTGGGGCCCTGGGTTCAATTCCTAGGGTGCTATCTGTGTGGAGTTTTATTGTTCACCACATGTTTGCATGGGTTTCCTCCTACATTCCAAAGACATACTGGTAAGTTAATTGGCTTCTTAGAAACCCGGCCCAGGTGAGAGTAAGTGTGTCTGTGTGTGCCCTGAAATGGACTGGCGTCCCATCCATGGTGTATCCTGCCTTGAACCCATTGCTTGCCGGGATAGGCTCCGGCTCCCTCACGATTCTGTAGTGGATAAAGTGTTTAGAAAACAGATGGATGACGTGTCTGTTTTGATAACTACAACCAAGCACATCACGACTGAGAGTAGAACACCATTGTAATAATTCAAAATCACTTTCTAAAATAAAACGCACTGAAACATACACTATAAATGGGGGTGGACATACCATCTCTGTTAGAAAGCAAGAGCACAAGGCCATTTAAGCACGTGTCGGTCACTTCGGATATGTTTGTCGCACATCTTCCGATGGCCTGGATTGTAGCCGCAGCAAATTGCTTATCTTGACTCTTCACATATGTCTAAGGGAAATAAAAAAATACAACACATGAAAAGACCCTTTAAATTCTGCTCATTATTGCCTGGAAGTCTTTATGTGTCCAGCTGTGCTCCGCTAATACTAATTACGATCTATTTTTAAAAAATGTTTCAAGCACAACCCACCAGCAAACTTGTTAAACTCTTCAAAAGACAGTGAGTCAGTTCCTTATTTTCTTTTAAGACTACATTAAAGATTCTGTGAACTGCACAAATGTCATGGACTTTGTTCAATAGGGCACAACATATGTCCACAGTGTCACTTTCCAGACAACTCTTGCAATATGGATTAAAAAAAAAAACACTTGCTGCTCAGAAAGAAAAATGAAAGGTTCCATAAAGGAAAGAAAGAAATCGGTTATATCTGTGTTACTTGCCTGGAACTCCCGCAGGATTGTAGAGATATTTGCTTCATTGGCCAGGTTTGTGAGGATCTCCAGCTGGTTAGGAGAATCACAACATCTGGAGTTTAACATTAATGAGGTAAACATAATACAAAACATTCCACTGCTCACTGCTTTTTACAAGGAACCATGCAACAGAATACTAGATTTCTTAGGAATTCTTGGAATTTTGCAAAATATTTACCTACAAGAATAGCTGATTTTATTACGAAATCATCAGAACACTACAGCTGAACACAGACGGAGGCTAATTAGCTTGTTGTGTGATGTGAAAGGCAACTGGTTACACCAGAGCTAATTAACAATTGATATTACTAAGGAGTGTGTATACTTACCGAACCTATTTTTCCAGGTTTTCATTTGTAATTACTTTTCAGCATATTTAAGCATTTGTTTACCACTTGTATCTTGTGCGTTACAATGGAAAGGTAAACTCAGTTCTTATTTAATATCTCTTAGTTTCAGGCTGCTAGGCCACAAAAATGATTTACTTAGGAAATGGTATGTAGACTTTCTATAGGCACAGTACTGTATGTAAATATTGTGTCCTGTCCTTTTTTGAAGTATCAGATTCTTTAGGCAAGTTCTGACAAGACAAGACAGAGTAAATGTGATAAATCTAGTTTAAAGCTAAGAATATGTTGCACAGATTTTCCTTCTTCCAGGACACAAAAGGCTGATTTTAGAAAAAAAAACATTTCATAATGCAGATTCAGGGAACAAAAATTACCTTCAAGGTCTTAATGTGAGTAGCATCTGTAGATCTCACATAGAAACTTTTAAGATATGGCTCAAACATACCCTGGAAAAACAACACAATAGTGTTATCTAAAACAAGTACAGTAAATAAAACCAACCAAAGAATAACCACCAACAACTGTTGTATTCAACTGAAAATAATTTCTCTCTCCCTTAACTATTTATGACCTGAATTTTTGGTTTTGTGTAAAAAAAAAAAGTAAGAAGTGCTCATATATTGTATTGTGGGAATGCTTCCTTTGATAGAAATATAACTCGAAAAAACTGTCATTGTCGTTTATAATTTACAGGCAACAACAAAAAGTCCTGTCAGGTCTCCCTGCACCTGTATTGAATACTCGGATGTTTTTAGGATGTCAAATGATAGTTTTATACATGGTATAAAACTATAAAACATATATATATATAAACATATACATGTATAAAACATATATGGTGTGCATATATTATTTTACTATATACATAAAAGTATCTGTTTTACACATTTTTCAAGGATCATGAGTGAGACACATTCATAGAATTGAGCTAAAATGACTCTACATCCCAATGAATCACATTTTGCACATTGAAACTCAAACAGCAGTTCTTTTTTTAATTCACACGCAGTCAATAATCATTTTTTTAGTGGCACACATCTCTGTTCAGTGTCCCCCTCGAGTCTGCAGTCTTTTGACATGACATCAGTTAAATTTTAAAAAATCTTGTCAGGCCATAAAGCGTCTAAATACCATAGGTCTTACCTTACGCTGAATAGACATGGTAGCAATATTCTGCAGGACAATATACTGCACTTCCCTTAAAAAACAAGAAGAAACAACAGCATTAAAGCATTAAATGGTCACATACTGCAACACTTGGTGATAACATTCGTTTTGGACAAATGGATCTTAGAATCTATATGGAACATGCTAGAATTTGGGTCACAGAGCTCAAACTATTCCTGGATTGAGAGCTTCTAAAGATTGAGCCATCTGATTAACAGAAAATTATTGCTCACTGACTATAGTGCACAACGTCAGTTGATGCCATGATAAGAAAAGCTTTTATTTTCTACCCTGCAAAGAATACTGTTTATAATTTTTTTATAATAAAGGTTTTTAGACAGCAATAATAAGAGCAACTCTACACTAAAGAAGAATATTATACAGTTTTATACAGTGTTTTTTTTCACAACTCAAAGTTCCTTTTAACACTGCTGAATTATATGAAACATCAACACAGGCTTCATTTTAAAAAAGTAAGAAAACTTCTGGGTTCATCTCCCCAAAAGGAGCAATATGTATAAAAGTAAATAAACACTACATTGTTCTAAAAGACAGAAGAGAAGCTGCTGCTATCTTCACCATTTTAGATTAATTACAGTTGTGCTCTACAAGGCTGGGAAGCTTTGATTGACTGAAGTCCACTGCTGCGCTGGTCTGTGTACCTGTGGCTTCGTAGTAATCGCACTAATGACTTGGTGACGATGCTCACTTCAGGCTTAGGGGCCAAGTGCCAATAGAGCTGTGCAACCGCCATCACGACCTTAACATCAGAAACAGGAGGGAAAAGAATCTCAATTTCCTTAAGGACATGAACAAGCGGTTAGAGTCTATGCTAACTCAATAAAATTGTAGCCTGAGTTTTTTTTAAACAAAGTAAAATTAGCTGGAGTTCCAACTTGGAAAAAGACATTAAATGGGGATCTTGCATTCCACTGCTTTCAAAAATCAGAAATCCATTTTATGCTGCATGTTGCTGGCATTTATTTTTTTATTAGGGCAAAGCAAAAGCCAGTACCCAGTGAACAGCAGAAAACGGCAACGTTTTTCCAAATGGACTACGATAAGTTCCTTGGGGTACCTTTCACGAGACTGAAATCTTAGAGAAGAGTTTTCTGAAAGAATATCCATCTTCCTTCCTATTTCACAAGACAACTGTTAAAAAAATCATTTTTAACTGCCTCTTTCCGGAATCAGTATGGGCGAAAAATAAGTCTACATTTTGTAATCACGTGCTGTGATGAATTTAACTTTTACCGTAATACCAAAAAAGATTCCCCGCTCTGAAACAAGACTGTCTTTGTGTAGGCTTATGCACCTCTTTTGGAAGAAAATGGTAACAACATATTTACCATCAAAAGCAGTCGGTCAAACTAGTAAAACCCCCACCAAAAGAAATCATTCACATTCTTAGAAACAACAGAAAAAAATAAATGACTAATGTAGCCTTAATGTAGGAGAACTTTCAAAAGCTTGAGGAAGCTTTATACTGAGATAGCATGACTACATTTGCTGGAGGAAAAAGTAAGCTGTCATGTTTCAGTCAATTTCTCACATAAAACAATTCTTTCTTGTCTTCACTTATTAAATAACACTGACCTTGAAACCCTAGTGAGACTGGAGACAAAAGTGTTATGTGTACATGGTGATACATATAGAACATTAGTTTTATTAGCATAACCTTGATAAAAACAACACTCCTGTGATGAAATGTAGAAGTAGGTAGGGAATGTGCATACTTAGGTGAAGTTACCAAGGCTGCATTTATTCTTCATACCATTCTTCATACCTTCACCAAAGTGTCACTAAAAGTCTGCTACACAGTCTACTGGGCCCTACATTCCGAAACTACGACTTCCTATTGTAGAAGGGAAACCAAAAAAGATAAGATTTTTAAAATTGTAAAATTAGTGTTTTTGAGAACAACATAACTTATCATCCACTATACAAGGCTGTACAAAGATTGCCTGTTAGATGGCTCAAAGGGCGACTCACTGCTGTATTTCTGCTCTGTAACAAAGGTTTAGTGTTTCTGAGAAGCAAACGGTGGTCTGGGTCCATCATATAAGGCTTGGAAGCAGGCGAAGATTTGTCTTTCTTCTCATCATCCGAATCATAAAAGTTTTGTTCGCTGTTCTCTTCAAACAGTGCATCCTGGTAAAAAAAACACAACCTTTTCAACAACATAATAAAATCTATTTGTGTATGACCAACAAAAAAGTTATGTTTTACTTGTATATTTACAGTGTTCATTACATCTTCAACTACCTGTGCTTAAAATTAGATATGGGAAGAACTTAAGCAGTAAGTCAAAATAATTAAGTCTATAAAGAGACGCAGTTTTATTATCTTTGCAGCTTGCTGAACACATACATTACATAAAATGGAAACACATTTTACAAGGATTCATCAGAAAAGAGGATACCAGTGGAGAAATTCTGTCCTGAGTTAGTTTTTCATAAGTAAAAACATAAGCACAAATACAAGGGTGATTTCTGATCCTAATATAGAAGACAAGGTTTCACCTCGGACTCCACATCTAGCCTAGCGGCCGGTCCTCAGCTTAAATAAGGAATAAAAAATTATTTTACAAGATTTTGAGTTATGGTTGATTCTCATGCTCTTTTTTTGGATTAATGAGAACCCCACGTCTATGGAGGCATTACTGTGGATTGTTCACTGTCTGCATGAGGCAAGCATTCATGACATGAGCATGTCAGCCAAAAACTAAATGCAAACCAGAAAATTTGACATGAGTGGAGCACAAAACATAACAAAAACCAATATGATTATTTAAAACAATTTTAGAATTGGTTTTAACATTCCAGGAAATGTAGGGCATTTGTGTCTAGACAGTAGCTAGTATGGCACTTGGATGGACACCAGACCTTTGCAGGGCATGCACACACACAGACAAACACACAAACAAGTGCAAAGGTATACTTTAGAGACTTATAATAACCTACACGTGTGTCTTTGGAAGGTGGGGTGAAACCAGAGCACACGGAGAAACACTCATGACCATGCAAGCTCCACACAGACAGCAGCCCAGGCAGTCCAGAATCAGGCCCAGGACGCAAGAGGTATGACTCCCTATCTTTTGTCCAGAATTGCATTCTCTGAAACTGCCTAGTGAAGACCTTCTACATTTCACTGTTTTCTCAATCTGCTGTGAGAAACACTTACTCTGTAAATATGAAAAGATACTGACTATGATAAAGAAATGTAGGACATTTGGAAAATTTCCATCCCTGCACTGTATTTACTAAATTACTATTACTATCCTATATAAGCCTGATACACACAGCTTTTGCAATATTTCATTTCTTTGTATATGCCACCTTTGTTTTACAGAAAACAGTTTTCATGCCCACAATTTCATAAACGTACTGACACAGACACTTTAGCTTTAGCATTAGGGTGAATGTAATTCTGTATCAAGAAGAAAATATTTTAATAGAGTTTTACATTATTTCATTCATCAGTCCCAATATCTTCAATATTCAGTTAAGCAATGTAATGACTGCACTATTAAAGACAAGACTGGATTCTTGAAGAAACACTTACCTGCAAGAAAACCATAAAAGTTAAATCAATTAACCAAGTAAAACAACCAATGAACCGTTAAAGAGGAAGCAAATCTAAATAGAATGCAAATAAATGTCAAAAATTACATTTCATATGCAGGAAATTTTGCCCAAGCTCTTTTCAAAAGCTTTTATAAGACCTTTACCGCAAGACAGCACTTTCTTACTTTTATTTTTATTCAAACTCTAAAACCTGCTTTAATGACTTAATACAAAATGCATTTCAAATGACTGTTTTATAGTCCTATGAATCTGCAGCCTCACTAAGTGCATTAGCCAGCCATGGAGATGACAGCAAGCCATCAGTGCTCAGCATAGCAACTGCACTTCAAAAAACTCACACTGGCATAAATAATGTATTAGTACAAAGATGTGAGCCTTCCATAATAACCTGTGTGCGGCTTTCCTGTTTGCCTGTATGAAGCACCCACATAGCTGCTTTCCATAGCTACTCTTTGATCTCATCAGCTGAGTGGATCGCTGGCTTTTAGAACTACCTCCACATTTTTTAAGGGTGGAAAAGTCAAGAGCTGAGTCTCCTCCTTTAGTCTTCACACAGTAAATTAACAAGAGTTTTTTTTTTTTAGAATGAACACAATTCACCTTTAAATCCCTTTATAATTCAACTTTGCACCTGTTAACTCGGAGTCTGTATCAGGACAGTACCTTGCTAACAGAAGCCACTGCTGATCGCGGTAAAACTGATGAGAAGCCCGTCATCTCCACGGGATCGATCTATATATGAAATGAACCCGATCAGGAGACTGTGCGTCTATGGGGCTCTCTTGGTAGGGGTTCTTTTGGCAAGTTAATATCTAGTTATCTCAAGACTCAAAACCACGTGCTGTTGTTCCAGTGGCTCTCCTCAGGTGCAGCTCGGCACAGATCAGTGACCTTCAAATCAGCTACCTTGCCCCGAACTCTGCTTTGCAAGCCACTGGATCCTCCAAATGCCCAGAGACAAGGTGTAGTTAAAGAAAATGTGCTTTCAAAAACAGTTGATGCTAAGAAAAAGACAACACGTTGACTTGTACCACTGTCTTCCTTCCCTGGAAAGTAGTAGTAAACTTAAGAACAGAAGAACGATTACAAATGAGAATAGGCTACTTGGCCGATCTAGCCTGTTTGGTAGTCCAGAATCTCATCCAGCCAGTTGTTGAAAGAAGCCAAGATACTGGCTTCAACAGTATGACTGGGCAGTTTGTTCCATACTCCTACAACTCTTTAGTTAAATAAGTACCTGAATTTCTTGGTTTTAAATGCACCTTCTGGTTCGTGTTTCATGGTTCCCATTGGAGAGCCCACTGCGCTGACTTTGTCAGTGCCTTTGGGGATTTTAAAGACTTTTACCAGGTCCCCTTGTAGACTTCCCTGTTAAAGACTATAACATTGCATTGCTATCTTTGTCATGGCTTCTAGACATCAGTATAATCAAGCTGTCATACCTCAGTTAGAAAGAGTACATTAATACATGAATAAATAGATTCATAAATAGGCATTGTTTAAATTGCATACTCCCACCAGCAACAAACCCTCATATAATATTTGCTATCTAGAAGGAGAAAAAAAATGATTTGGCCATTTGTTTTGTTGATTGTTAGCATCTCAGAGGTCCTTTTCTTGTTCTTCTAAAACAGTCAGATGATTTTAAAAAATGAAAATGCAAATATGCATTTTACTGGGCTCTTGAATTTATTAACCTAAAAGGTTTAATTTCCATTTTTTCCTGCATCAGCTTTATTTATAAATGTCGTGCCCTATAAATATCCTGTTATTTTCTTATACTCAAGTACCCTCTTAACAAATCTTCTCATTAATATGTAAATTTAAAGTCAATCGGTCTTCTCCCTGACAGCACTATGAATTCCTAGTGCACTGTGTAATCAGCTTTGACTTGGCATCCACTATTTATCATAAAAGATGTCAGTTTAGAAAAATTATGGGAAATATACTGCAAGTGATGTGACTGCTATCTGGTCGCTTTCCATTTAATTGTTCCTCAAATCACAGATTTATATCCTTAAGGGCTAAATACTGCTCCATAAACAATTCATATTTTACACAAATAAATGAGAAATCCATTCCGCCAGAGGAGACATTATATAGCTTGATGTTGCATTTAGTAAGTCAGAGAAACGGGGGCTATCAGAGCAGCATAAATTAGGTGCTGGTGCAGTATTTACAGCTCTACTAAGGCATTCCATTAAAAACTATCTACAATACAGCAATGGTTCTCATACTCAAGCAAAAGTCCAGCACAAGCCTGGTCACTAAAATGTAAAACATTAAGTTAAACTTCCTTTTTTTCCCCAATTGTCCTTCAAAGATTTTTACTTATTAATACATTTAAGCTAACAGAAGTATTTCTGAAGTATTAAATAACATTTTGAACTGACTCTTCTGCTGTATCAGTGTGTATCGTATACCGATATATCCGTTTCCACTCACAAAATTAACTTTTTAAATCATTTTAACTGGTCTGTGTTTGCTGAATATGATGTTGCATTCAAGTCACACAGATGGTGCTTAGCAGAAAATTAAGTGCTTTTCAAAGAAGGTGTGCAACTATGAAACACCAACCAACCTGAATTATGTTGAATCAAACTTTTTTTTTAATTAACTGCTAAGTTCTTAATTTATTCATCTATCACCATTCTATCCATAACATCTAACAAAGCTGAAGGCAACTACAACGCCCATAATTTGTTGGCTTTTAACATTTTTAGATGTTTAAGATTGAAATGTTTATTTCAAAACCAACACTCACTCCAAAAAGGCAAAGGCAAGGGGATTCTGACAATGCACAATAATTATCACTTAATCATCCACCACATGAATTACTACACTTCAAATTTGTATTTGCTATCCCACCAAAAAAAAGCACTGCTTACATCTTAGATGACTGACTTGCTTTAAAGTTTTGTATCATTCAACTTTTTGAGTATTTAGAAATATGTAAAGGTAAAGTTCTACCTGCTTATAGTAAAGAAAATGCAGCAACACACAGCTGAAAAGGCTGAAATTAACACTTACCAACCCAAGCAAACAAACATACATCACTAAACAAAATATTATATTTAAAACAGGCAATTTTGTTCCAGGGAAAAGCAGAAGCCCAATTAGTAGAATGTACATGGCTTAAAGAGTTCACATGAGCAAAAAGAGCTCAGCTATGTCACCCGGAAACATAGTAGAAGAAAGAAAGTGACTTAAGAGAAAGAAAACAAAAAGAAGCTGTCTGGACACTAATCATTAGGAGATGAATATTGTGGAGTATTCTGTATTAGCCCCCTTTATGTGAGAATAGCAGTGGATCTGATCAGGGGGCACCTTCACTAGTGGCTTCAGGGTTATCACATGTGCACGATGACTTAGGGAACAAGCGGAATATCCTATACATTATTTCTCATTCACTAACAGATGAACTTCACATTGTAGTAAGGAAAGTAAAGAAGACCATAAGAAAGTTTATTAACTTTATTAAGAGAAGACTCATCTAACCTGTTTTATAGTTAATAGTTGATGTGATGATCTCATCCATCCATTTTTTATGCAAACAAGGGGTTT